ACAGAACAAATGATGCTGCTGAAGAGGTGTCACCTGAAAAAGCCACCGTTGAAGAAGAAATTCTACTCAGCTTTGAGAAGGGAAACGGTAAAGCTCTTGATGAAGTTACTACCACTGATGTGACTGGTATCGACGATAGGACATTTCCTGATGAAGCAGATGAACCCCATATGAAGCAGAAGCCAACGAGACGGAGACCAGTATGGAAGAAGATACGTCCCGTAAAATTAAGAGACTTTGTTGAATTGTAATTTTGTGTTTGTAATTCTGTACATTTTAATTAAGTTATTGTTATTGATATATTGTATGTGGTTACTGTTCGGGACGCACAATACTAAGGAGGGGCAGTGTTGCGTCAGCGAGGTCACGTGACTAGTGTCACGCCACGTTTCTAGAACTATCCTGTTCCTTCGGGAGTGCTCTAGCATTTGCTAGATTGGGGATGGCCTGGTATATATAAGATGGTCACGGCGTGACGTGACAATGTGTGTGTAGGTAGTGAGTAATTGAACTGCAGTCAGAAAGTATTGTTGAAGTTAACGTCGTTGTTATAGCGTTGTTATAGAGCGACTGTTGAAAATAAGTGTATTGGTAAAGTTATATTCAGAAAGAATAAACCAGTTTCATTAAGAAAGGACTTGTGTCGCTAAAGTTTCGTCGGAACGAAGTTACGGAAAATTAATTTACAAACGGAGACGTAACAATCTTTAACATAACTTAACTGTTTGTGTGCCATGTAGATGTGGTAGAGGCATATATCAAATTTAAAGAAACTTAAAGATGTGAAGATTCTGGTTTTTCTAAATATTTTAATCGTGTTTAAGTTAATTATGCTAATATATTAAGTCTGTTAGATTCTTATTTTAGAAAGGAAATACTTTAAGAAAGAATTATCCAATTCATATGGACAAAAGATAGAAGTTTTCACACACATATCTTTTAAATACGTGAAAATTATTAGTCATATGTTAGTATGTAATGAATAGTTTACCACTTTTGACAGACTACTCCACAGAAAAGATAAATATACTAATTATTGCTTAACTAATTATTGGAGATACAATGTTTTTGTCATGTACCAAGATATATAGGTATTTCACACATTGTAGCTCCCCCTACATATGCTGAATGTGTGGAAGGTTCAGTGGATATTACTGAAGATGATGATGATATTATAGGAGACACTCGATTCACTCCAATGTACACCTATGTTCATGATTACCAGTACCAACCTCCTCCCGCTTACTCTGAGGTAAATGTACGACTTACAACACGTACATTTCATTCAATGTTATCTTTTGTTGAATGTAAAACTACAATGCTTGGAATTATTAGATATTATTAAATCAGTTAGATAGTTTTCATTGTTTATTAGAATAACTACTTTCATAGCTAGAATATAGAGATATTTCTAGATTTTTAATATCCATTATCTTATTTATGCTCCATTAATGTGCCTGCAATTTTTTAAGAGATAGTTTATCTGTTAAATGTAAAATCAATCTCTTTAACTTGGATATTGAAAATTATGAATGGTTTTGTGTTTTTAGTGGTGTTTTGAGTATTCTAACAATTGGAAAGTTGGATCATGTGATTTGACAGTTAGTAAGAGTAAAACTGTTAGTGCATTAATTGGATTTCGTATCTATGACTGGAATCTTTATTGGGATGAAAGTGATTTGTTTGCTATCAGCTAGTAGAAAGTCATTTTTATATCTAATCATCTTAAGATTTTTATTGTAGGTTATTTATGTCTGATGTGAAACCATCTTCTTGTACTGAGCAAATATTTTCTAGCAACAACTGATTACCTGTAACAACCCAGTTTGTCTTATAAAGGTTTTTCACAGTTGGTTTTCCTTTCTAATGTTGTGATGTGGGTAAAAATTATGATTTTTTTCTAAGTATTGTACATAACTGTTATATTGCCTATTTAAGCAGAATGACTTTCATAATATTTTTTAAAACTCGGTACATGTATAAAATTATATGTATATTTGAAAAAAACAACAACATAATCTCATTTCTCATTAAAGGACAGTGCATCAACCATAATTTACTAAATATTACAATGTTTTTTTTACCAAATGTGACTTGGATGTTTTTATAGCTACTGAGAGCCTGCATTCCACAATCATACGCATATAAAAAAAACTAACAGTGAAATAAAAAAAAATAAAGAAAAAGGTACTAATAACTGCCTAGTGTGTTTACATAGCTTACTGTAGCAAACACATTTTCATGTGTAGGTGGATCCTCATCCAGTTGAAGAAGAAGGGCAGGGATGAATATTGGTGTTTGGACCAGATGGGTTATGGTAAAGTTATATTGATGCTATTTCAACATCTTACACCACAGATAATATCAGCTGTAACAACTGTTGTCATCTTGCCTTATACATGCTAATTGAAGTTACTACGTGATCTTGGCAGCTATCGTCTTAATGATGTGGAATGCTCTATGGATGGTTACCTTATAATGAACTTCAGGATGCAATATCACTGTCTCTGTTCTGGTTCAGGCTTAGTTTCTGTTCCATTTCAACATTTCACTTGAAATGTTGATAACATAATGTTTTGTAAAATCAACACATTGATTGAAAATCGAAATAAGCAGTATCTTTTAGAACCTATGTAATATTCTATGATGTTTGAACTTAGTTAAGTTTATCTACTATAGTGTGATTAAACGATCAAATATAGTTTTATTGCCCAGTGTGTAACTTAATAATTCGTTATATAAAATTGTAATCATTTTTGAAGAATTTAAGTATAAAATTATATGAAACTGTTCATTTGCTTTTCTAGTTAATTCTTGACTCTCAATCTATAGTTATTCCTTTGTCTTGAATCTCAGATAGTTCTTATACATACATATTTAACGTTACCTGATTCCTAACAAGTTGAATCTCAGATAGTCCTTCTTGTATATACATATGTAATGTTACCTGATTTCTAACAAGTTGAATCTCAGATAGTCCTTCTTGTATATACATATATAATGTTATCTGATTTCTAAGAAGTTGAATCTCAGATAGTCCTTCTTGTATATACATATGTAATGTTACTTGATTTCTAACAAGTTGAATCTCAGATAGTCCTTGTTAAATATGTATATACAAGAAGGACTATCTGAGATTCAACTTGTTAGAAATCAAGTAACATTACATATGTATATACAAGAAGGACTATCTGAGATTCAACTTGTTAGAAATCAAGTAACATTACATATGTATATACAAGAAGGACTATCTGAGATTCAACTTCTTAGAAATCAGATAACATTACATATGTATATACAAGAAGGACTATCTGAGATTCAACTTGTTAGAAATCAGGTAACATTATATATGTATGTACAAGGTTACTTGATTTCTAACAAGTTGAATCTCAGATAGTCCTTATATATACATATGTAATGTTACCTGATTTCTAACAAGTTGAATCTCAGATAGTCCTTCTTGTATATACATATTTAACGTGACTTGATTTCTAACAAGTTGAATCTCAGATAGTCATTCTTGTATACATATGTAACGTTACCTGATTTCTAACAAGTTGAATCTCAGATAGTCCTTCTTGTATACATATGTAATTTTACCTGATTTCTAAGAAGTTAAATCTCAGATAGTCCTTCTTGTATATACATATATAATGTTGTCTGATTTCTAGCAAGTTGAATCTCAAATAGTTTTTCTTGTATACATATGTAATTTTACCTGATTTCTAAGAAGTTAAATCTCAGATAGTCCTTCTTGTATACATATGTAACGTTATCTGATTTCTAACAAGTTGAATCTCAGATAGTTCTTCTTGTATATACATATGTAATGTTACTTGATTTCTAACAAGTTCAATCTCAGATAGTCCTTCTTGTTTATACATATGTAAGGTTACTTGATTTCTAACAAGTTGAATCTCAGATATTCCTTCTTGTATAAATTTGTAATGTTACCTGATTTCTAAGAAGTTGAATCTCAGATAGTCCTTCTTGTATATACATATATAATGTTACCTGATTTCTAACAAGTTGAATCTCAGATAGTCCTTCTTGTATATACATATGTAATGTTATCTGATTTCGTAAGAAGTTGAATCTC